TCATTGTACTAAGATTCTCATATATTAATCATTTTTTATATATTAGAGTAGATGCTAGATACTCATAAATGGGACCAATGGCTTGAGGGGTATGTATATATTAAATAATGAAGAGATGCTGCAAGACGGCTTCTAACACAGTAAAAGTAATTCAGGTATCTACCAAACAGGTACACAAGTACCTTCTTCCTAGCACCTCTGCCAGAAATGGATGATTTTTACTTAAAAAAATCTTTACGGAGATATATCAATAATTCATATACCATTAAACTCACCCTTTAAATGTACAGTTGAATGGTTGGAATATATTCTGAAAGCTATGCGATGATCACCACTGTCTAGTTCTAGAACATTCTCATCACTCCAAAAGACAGACATCCTGTGCCCACTCAGAAGTCAGTTGCACTCCCCCATTCATCTAGGTCCCAGGCAACCACTCATCTATTTTTGTCTCTACAGCTTCCTCTACTTTGGACATTTCATATAACTGGAACCATATGATATGTGGTCTTTTGTGACTGGCTTCTTTGATTTAACATACTGTTTTCAGGGTTCATCCATGTTGTAGCCAAGTATCAGTACTTCATTTCTTTTTATTATCAAATAAAAGTCCACTATATGGATATACTGTATTTTATCTATCCATTCATTGGTTGAGAGACTTTTGGGTTGTTTCCAACTACTGGCTATTACGAATAATGCTGCTATGATCATTCATGTACAGGTTTCTGTGTGGATGCATGTTTCTATATATCTAATTGGACTCACTGGGTCATATGGAAACTGGGTTGTACCTTTTGAGAAAATGCCAAACTGTTTTACAAAGCATAATTTTAACTTTTGCCAATTCCATGGACATAAAATAACATTACTGAATTTGTAATGTGCACTTCCTTACTGAGATTGAGGCTCTTTTCTTTCATTCATTGGTCATTTAGTTTGTTTTTTCTAAAGTGCTTTTTTCATCTTTTATTTCTACTAAGTTGTTTTGTTGGCCTTTATAAACTTCCAGGGGTTCTCCATACATTTTAGATAGCCACCAATTTATTGTTGTCTTCTTTGTAAACATTTTGTCTTAATTCTAATGTTGTACCTTATGTCAGACAAAATATCCCATTTTTATAGAGCTAAACATATCTTCTTGGTTTTTGTGTTCATTAAGTTCTTCTGTGCTAACAGATTATAAATGCATTTACTTAAATTTTCTTCTAAAATTTTTAAGCTTTAATCATTACAAAATTTAATTCATATATAGTACAATTGGGTTTAACCCTTTTCCTACTGAAATACCATCTTAATACGCTTTAAATGATCAAATGTAATGATTTTTGTCCTCTATTCTAATGTCCTAAAAGCCACCTATAAGAATTATTTGTTGCTTTTTGAAATCAATTTTGGAGGCTTTATTTGGTATTTTTAAAAATTGAAAATAGAAAAATAATAATGTATATCATATGTAATGAGGGTATATATCTCACAAAACATCCCTATTTTTAAATATGCACATACAAGTATATATCTATATAGATACAGATATAGATGTATATATATCAAGTGTTGTTACATGTGTAAAATGTACTTACAGTGAATTACAATAATGAAAATTTGAAATCCTCTTCTCCACTGTGATACCTTATACTGTTTGTGTTCTGACATCTGGTAAGGCAGGTGCATCTCTCTTTTATATTCTTTCTTTGGCTATTATTGGATATTAGTTCTTCCACATAAACTATGTAGTCATTTTTCCCCCAACATTAAAAAAAAAACATTGCTTCCATTCTAATTAGAATTGCTAATTTAGGAAAATCATATTTTCATCTTATTAAGTTCCCCTTACCATCAAATAATTTGGTATATCTGCTGTTTATGAAACATAGTATGCTTCCATAGTTACCACACAAAGAGGGAATCCAATTATTTTAAAAAATTGTGTATTTATTCTTATATGTTTAAACTTCAGTCTCCAACTGATGCAATTCACCTATTGAGACTTTTTTCCCCACTGCTCAAAACAGTTTCTGAACTCCTCAATTTTGATGTCTTTTAGTTTAGTGTTTCTGCCCTTTTTTGTTTTTTGTTTCACTTTTTCCACACTGACAAAATGCTTGCTTTTGAGGACTTTTTCATCCAGGGCAATAAAAAAAAGTTGCTGGGGTGAGATTGGGTACATAGGAAGGGTGGCATGGGGGTCATGTTGTTTTTTATCAAAAACCACTGAACACTCAGCAACATGTGGGCAGGTGTGCTATAAATTACCTGACATGAAATGGGCAATGCCTTGAAAGAGTCTTCCCCCAAAAATGTCACTGAAGCCAAACACCGCCTCTCACAACAACACCAGCTCGTACACTGATACAGATGGGTTCCTAAAACACTCACCTAGCAGAGGAAGCCTGTACTACAAAGGGCCCACCCTCCAGAAGATAATTCCAGGGTTCTTTTGGGCCCACCTCTTACATAAGTCTTATGGTATACTTGTCAAATTTACTCCTGAGTATTTTATAGTTCTTTTCATTGTTGTGAAGAAAAATTTTTTTCTAATTTTCCATTCTGTATGTTTATTGCAAATACAGAAAAGCTATCAATTTTACTTATATATGGCTATCTCACAGATTCACTTATTAATTCTACTGTTTATAACTTGAGTCTCATAGGTTTCCTAGATGTAAAATTGTATTTCCTAGGAGTAAATAATTTTTGGCAGTGTAAAAAAAGCAATGAAAAGAATCTTGTCTGACTCCTGATAATAAAATGCAGTTTAAATAACATACACAAGAAATGCCTCAGCTGACTGAGACCCATCCCTCTCTCTGCTGTCTCTGCAGTTGCTCCTCCTGTCACAGCTCCTGTCCCTGCTCCTCCCTTCCTACAGCTCCTAAACTGCTCCCAGTGAAAGGCCCTCACCTCTGATATCTGGGTAGCACTGAAATGTGCTCTTGATTCTCAGGGTACCATCAAAAACACAAACCCAGCCATTCAGATATACACGTACAAGGCAAGATGCTGAAGGAATATCAAGAAAACAACAACATGCAGAAAGACAATCAGATAGGAGATATAAGACATAAATAAATAGCATCATTTCAAATAGAAATCACACATGCTTTAAAATAGGCACAGATAAAGCATGTGTCAAGATCAGAGGAAAAATATAAAAGTAATTACAGGTAGAGCTTACAAATACTCTATAATAATACTATAATTTGTATATATTACAGATTTAAAAGGTTTTGTGGGATTGGCTGAACCTAATTACCACATGTGTTTATGGGGAAAAACTGCTGTCAAATAATCCACTTATAAGTGAATTTCCAGCAACGTAAGCCATGTTTCTTAAATCCCACTGAGACAGGTAGCACTGCACCGGCCCTGGAGGTGCAGTGCTGCCAGTGAAGGGGGGCAAAAAGAGGGACAGGTAAGTCTGGTTAACAATGACCTTTCCTGTTACCACTTGAGAACAGAATTTTAGTCAATAAAAATAAAAGAAAATGAATCTGTATCATGTAACTTTCTTAAAAATTAAAATTTTATAAATTCAAGTACCACAGAATAATGATTATAATGTTCATAATTCAGTGCTTAAATTAATACAGCTCTTTATACTGCCAAAAATATAATAAATTTTTACAAGGGTAAAAAGTTTTCATCTTTGAATTCATACAGTATATAATAGCAAAATGTGGTTGTTACATAATCCAAAATATATTGGATCATTCTTGCTACAAAAATATGACTGACTTTTCCTCTGGTCAACCATCTTAGAGGTTAATTCTTGTTTTCTGTTTCAGATTTTAGTCTAGGTGAACTGTTCTGGGCAGAATCTATTTACCTATTCTGAACAAACCACGAACTGTTTCATTGCTCACTCTTACTGTTAAGAACATATTGACCTGCTGCCTGCTCTGCTGTTTAATTCATTTATGCCAAGAGTCAGGCATGAAGGCAAAATTTAAACTGTGACATTTGCAGGCTCTTAGGTCATTTAGGCTCTGACAACACTAGGGAATTCCTGACATATAAGTGGGGCCAGACTAACAGGTACAGACAGGCTTTCCAAAGGGGCAAATTTCTGACCGTTTTTTTTTTTTGTAATTTCTCACAGAATTTCAAAATTGAATTTTAGTGTCACTGAAAAGATCAACACAGCCAACGTTTTAAAGTAAAAGCCTGTGTCTTTCAGAAAGTTCAAACAGGCACATCTACTCTACTCATATCAGCTAAATAAAAATTCTTTTGATTAACAAAGACATACAGGAGGACTCATAATAATAACTTTCATTAAAATTCTGAGAAATTCTGACCTCCAAGGACTTTTAATATTTCCTATAATCTATAGATTCTAAAAATTCCGATATGTCTAAAGGCCAGACTCTTGCCATCAACCCATTTAAAATTCTTAGATGCTAGCCCAGCTGGGCAGACTTTATGTGCTGCTAAAATCACAGTACAATGTATGTTTAAATACTTACCACACTGCCTTCTCTCTGAGATTACAGTTATGTAGAGGGACGTACAGTTATTATACTTGGAAATGCAAAAACGGCCCACATGACATTCAAAATTATACTTCACAAGAGTTGATAATGGGGTAGGGTGGAAGAAGTAGGGAAATACTGTTTTCTCATTTTAGCTCGTCAAAAAAATTACTCCAAATTATATTTTTTTAGCTTTTTTTCCTTGTCAGTAACAAGTATTATATAAAATGGTTCAAATGAAAGTTTTCTGAAATTAATTCTTGCTATTAAGTAATGCACAAAAGATCATTCTGATTCTACCCTGTGTTTCATATAAGTAAAAATGCTACTGATACACAGCAAGAAGCCTTTTAATATTGTGCTGGAATGAGACTTCCAATGTAAGAGGTGGAGTCTAAACAGGGAGAGATGGCCTGGAATGCCTTTCAGCTACAGCACAATGATTCTGAAAAACCTAACAAAAGCAATTATTTTTCAGGGATTAAAAACCTTGTTTTTTAAAAAAAAATAAACTGGAAAGCAAACCTGGTGTATTATCTGAGCTACAGGAAGCTGTTCAGCATATTTCAGGGGTTCCATTAGTTTCTCATCATCCATCCAGTCTTCCTTAGAGCTAGAAAAAAGGAATCAAAAAACACAAAGCATTTGAGTAAATACTATTTTAAATATGGCAAATATGGCAGATATAAAATATATCAAAATATATACCTGATGTTTTTGAAATAACCAGTATTCATGAATAATCTATGAAGAAACACCTAATGGGAATTTTAAAAGGATATACTTATAAATGCACTCGGATTGCATTTAATAACCATGTAAATAAGATTAACTAACATTGCCTAATATTCTCAGGTCCTATCTTTCACTCAAAGACTTAAAAATGGCTAAGAACTCTCTTTTCACTGAACACTCAGTGCTTCTTCTCGTAGTAAAAGTCTTCAAAACCTGTGTTCCACCCATGTTCCAGCCTCATCACTAGCCCCTCCTCTGTATACCAGTCAACTGTTTCACCCACTTCCACCTACTGCCGGCCCTCCCACCAATGAGCCTTGCAGATTCTTGACTCTGATTTTCTCCATTCTGTTTCCTGCCTGGACCAACCATCAATTCCTTCTGTATTTACTCATCTTTCAAATACGATAACTTATTTAGACACATCTAGGTCCATTTTTTACCTCCTTAAAGGCAAAAATCATCTTATTCTTCTTTGTATATCCAATGTTCACCATATAATAAAAATTCAATAAATGTTTGCAGAATAAATATATGAAGAAAATAAACAATAATTTTCTGGGAGGCTATTTTATATGGAATATTTTCCTTAATACCTACATTTACAATAAGATGCAGAGTAGGCATAATACATATAAAATTGTAAAGTGCAGAGTTGGCTAACACAGTATACAATACTAAAGTGCAGAACAGGAATAAAAGTAAAATCTCCCCAAATGAAGAGAATTAGAAATTTTTAAAAACTTATTGATCCTTTTCAAAATGGCAAATAAACATCACATTTCAAAACAATAAGACCTAAACATATTTAAAGTTCCTTTTACCTTTTTTCTCTGTAAACTATACATCAACTTAGCAACTTAATAAAAATTGAAACCCTGAGCCCTGGCCAGGTGTCTCCACTGGTTGGAGCATTATCCTGTACACAAAAAGTTGCAGGTTCAATCCCCAGTCAGGGTACGTGTGTATGTGTATATGAATGAAACTGACAGACTTGTGTGTGTTTCATTTTCACTGCGTGTCTGTGGTGGGGAGGAATACGATGAATGGCTAGTCAGCACAGTTTGGTGGCAGTGTCTTCACCCCTGTTAAGGCACCAGCAGCTTCAATAAATATCTGCTAAAAAATCAAGCTTGAATCACTGAAGTAATTCTAACAGTACACAGAACTATGAAAAAACACTCTTTGTTGTTTATTACAAAAGTCTAAAGCAACATGTATTAAGATGGAAAACTTTTTAATTACAAAATATCTCTCAGTCAGTAAATATAAAGGATTAAAAAAATGGAAATCTAGCAATTTGAGTGACATTTTTTAAATGCCAAGTCGCTGTTATGAAAAATTTCAAACATGTTTCTATATTTTCTCTATTTTGTTATTGTTGCAGAAATGACAATTCGTATCTAAACACTTCAGCATGCATCAAACAAAAATAGGCTTGAAAATTTAATAACCGGACATTAAAAAAAAGTCATACAAAGTGGAATTCATAAATAATCTTGGGTATCTCTACAGATGTAGTTTTCTTTTTTACTTACTCAATGTTTCACAATAAATTAAAAGTATTACTCATCTTTAATTTCTTGAAAATGTTGGCCTATCATTTTCTTGCTTTATGTGTTATTAGAAGTGTGATGTCAAGCTAATTTTCTTTGCACTTTAATTATTTTCATTTTTAATTTATTTTAAAATCTTATTTAATTATTTTTGGCTTGGAAACTCAAGTGGTCTTTTTTCCTCGTATTGTAAGGTGTAGTACTAAGATACTGCTAAATGTTAGTTGTTCTAGAAGTTCTCCCAGACACATAAGAGTCCTTTCAATAGGCAATTCAGGTCTCTTCTTATTTCCCAAAAGTTTTTTCATTATAATTTGAAGTATTGTTTCTGTTCATTTTTCATTTGTTCTAATTTGAGTTCTTGAATTGAATATTTGGATTTTCTCTATCACTTCCCCTAATCTCTTTATGTCTCTTATTTTAAGTTTCATTTCCTTCACTCTTTTTCATTTCTATTTTTCATGTCTTTTACTAAACTTTTGGTAGTATCTGTCAACCCCTGGGGACCTTGTAATTTAGGTTACATTTCTGAAATGATTTTTTGTACTTTTCCAACAATTTCTTTCTAGAGTTCAGTCAGCTCCTGTTTCATATATCTTCCAGTTTGTCCATTTCAATTGTGAGTACTGACATGTCTTGTTTCATTGTATATGGGGTCATTTCATAATGTAATTATGTGTTCAATATAGGTTATTCATGCTCAAGTGTTGTGTTTCCATTTTCCTGTTTTGTATTTTTCTTTTCTTTCTTTTCATTTTTCCTTTCACATTCTCTCTCTCTAGTAAATTTGTACTGATGCTTCCTTCTTTTTCTGTTAAAGGTAATTTATAATTTTTTTCAGGGCCAGCATCAGCTCTTGTTATAGGAAGAAGGGAGGTAAGTTGACTTATCAGGTTTCCCGGTTCAAAAGTGCCCTCCCCTGCGACTACACTGGAGTATAGTTTCTTCAATAAATGCTACTTTTTGTTATGGTGGTGGGAATAGAATTTGTCTTTTTTTTTTTCATTTATCTTATTTCCTTTGAACACAACTTCAGCTGCTTCTTTCTTTCTCTTCACCACTGAGCCTCCAAGATACACCCCCAACCTGGAAAGGTACCTTCCAGGCTCTCACAATCAGTGCTTTCCCAAGACTCGCTGTCACCTAAGGTCACCCACTTTCTGCGCCCCAACTCCCAGGTCCTCAGTAGCTAGGGCTCTGGTCCACACTTATAGTATAATTCAGAAACTCAGAAAACTACCAATGTTAATTTCATTTTATATGTGGCGGCCATTCCAAGGGACCATGAATTTCTTCTCACAAAACAATAAATTTTCTTTCAGAAACCCATCCAATAGTGCTTTCATTTAACAATCTGAGTCCCTCCTAAAAGACTTATATATTATCTCTTTTCAAGATTTTTTACTAAGAAGACATAATTCTATAATTTAATAAGGAAGGAATTTTCTGCATGGAAAAAGCTGTGTATTCTTGTTTTTCCTTTACAATTTTTACCTGTGTTTTTGTAGAAAACAAAGATAAATGCAATTTGTTTATACCATGAAAGGATTTTGGATCTAATGCAGTGATGCTACCATCTCAAATCAAAATGCAACTGAAATATTGCCCAGATCCTCTGCATAAGTAAGTAAAATACTGCTGGCAAAAATTCTGAAACCTAGGAAGTTAGTCTTTGCAAACCCCCATCTCTTTTGTGTTCTCTTCCATTCATAGATGCCTTGTGTCCTCACAACCCTCTCTTCTCAGTGCTATTTAAGCACTCCTGAAACTGCACTGTAAAACTCCTTACTGTGGCCGCATGCAAGGCCATCTCTGACTCAGAAACAGGTGAGCTTTTTATTCTCTACTGTAACACAGATTACATGATCAGGTATAAAATCACATACATTATTGTGTGCAGAAGGCCAAAGAATCTTTTCAATCACTAGAAATGTATGTGTATACACACACACACACATATCAAAGGTGTCAACCTCATTTTCACTGGCTGCACATCAGCCTCACAGTTGCCTTCAAAGAGCCAAATATAATTTCAACTCCTTAACAGTTAAGGAGTAGTTACATCGACACAGCCTTAACATTATTTCAACCCTTTGAAAGCAGCCAGGAGGCTGATGTGGTCCCGAGTGAAAATGAGTTTGACATCCCTGATATGTATTTTCAACAAAAAGAAGGGGAAAGTAGAGATATTGTGCTGTGTGCCAAATACAAACTAAAAATTAATATCAATAAATAATCCAAGACACATCATCTAGGGTAATCCAAAATCATCAAGAAAAAAATATTTAAATATATCAAAAACAAACACAGAAAGGTAGTCAAAGTTAGTGTAACCTCTTAAATATGAAAGCTCAAACAAATTATTTGAAACTAAAAGTATACAGAGAAATCAAATTAACTTAATTTGATCTTGTTGGGGACGGGAAGAAAAAAGGATAGAACAAGTCCCATTCCTAAGTGGTATTTTAAAAAATTCCCAAGCATTGGTGCAAGTGATAGCACACACTGCCGCACAAGATGTACTTGACAAACCTGAGACCCTATGACACTCCTGCAAGTTTAAAGATGCTCTGAGGAAGAAGAGAAGTCAATTCCACTGGTCAATAGAGACAAACACAAAATGCTATTACAATTCCAGACAGGTCCCAAGAGTTACTGAAGATTATTTTTGTGAAGACAGGTTTTATAGCAATGAGACAACAATTTAATGCATCATCTTCCTTGAAATGAGATCCTCCTCCTAAATTCACAACATAGACATTCTCCTAATTATCAAACTTTAAAAAAATGTGAGAGAAGATATTAAAAAGTAACTTTCAAGAAACATAAGGAAGATGATGAGCCAGGAGACAGAGACATAATTTGATGCAGAAAACATAAAGTTGAGTCCTAAGGGAAAGTTTGCCTGTTCCTGATTCTTACACCTCCTATTCTTTCCCTGTCTTCTTGTATTAGCCGGTATTTCTTGTGCAACATTGAATAGATAAACTTACAACATGTATCCTTATGTTGTCTGACTTTCATTGAGATGCTTCTACAGATTCACCATAAACTATAATGTTTGCTACTGGCTTTAGACACCCTTTATTAAGGTAAGGCAGCTCCCTTTTATTTCAAATTTGCTAAGCCATGTTGCTTTTCTTAACCATTAGTGATTGATGAATTTTAATCAAATGCTGTCTCTGCCTCTACAGAAACAATTACAAAATATGTAATGATATGATAAAATACATTAATCTATTTTCCAATCCTAAAACATCCCTGCAGTTTTCAGATCTTTTGGTCTTTTGAATCTTTTTTGAAGTATTTTTATTTACACATT